CCTACCCTTGCTGCTGGTCTCCACGCTGCCCCAGAGGTCTGTGCTTCCAGGTCTCCTCTGCAACCTCCTCCCGTGGAGTCTCCCGTGGTCTCAGGTACCCCTCCTTCCGACCCTCATCAGATGTATGCTTGTCTTCTTGCTTCTTTTTTTTTTTTTTTTTTTTGAGACAGAGTCTCGCTTTGTTGTCCAGGCTAGAGTGAGTGCCGTGGCGTCAGCCTAGCTCACAGCAACCTCAAACTCCTGGGCTCGAGTGATCCTTCTGCCTCGGCCTCCCGAGTAGCTGGGACTACAGGCATGCGCCACTATGCCCGGCTAATTTTATATATATAGATCAGTTGGCCAATTAATTTCTTTCTATTTATAGTAGAGACGGGGTCTCGCTCTTGCTCAGGCTGGTTTTGAACTCCTGACCTTGAGCAATCCGCCCACCTCGGCCTCCCAAGAGCTAGGATTCTTCTTGCTTCTTTCTTCTAATTTCTGCTAGAATCTGTCTTTTCTGCAGAGACACTCTGTCTGGCAGTATTTCTCGTCCACCATCTTGATTCGGATCCCCAGGACCACACTTTTAGAACCACTGCTCTGGTGCGATGGCTCTTAACTTTACCTGTTCAATGGAGTCACTTGGCAATTCTAAAAATACTGCTGTTTGAGTCACACAGGAAAAGATTCTTACATAATTAGTCTGGGCGGGATCTATTCATCTGGAGTTTTAAGCTCCTTGGTGATTTTAGTATTCAGCCAAGGTTGAGAACCACTATCCAATGACAAAAGCACAGGATCTGGAGTCAGGACATCTGGGTTCCACCTGACATTATCTCTGTGACTTTGGTTGGGCCAGTAACTTCACCTTTCTGACTTTGCCTTCCTTTCTTCATGTGTAACATGGGTACAATAATACCTACATCACAAGGCTTTCAGGAAGATAAAATGAGGTACGATGGATGTGAAAAAGCTTCATAAGCAGTAAAATGTTACACAGTTATCATTGTCTTCTACTCTTTTAATCATATAAACACAGATAATCAAAGTGTGTCTCAGTAGCACTGGTATGACCTGAGAGCTTTGTAGAAATGCAGAATCTCAGGCCCTGCACGAGACCTATTGAAATAGTCTGCATTTTATCAAGATCTCCAGGTGATCTGTATGCACATTAAATTTATGCTTCCCTGTCTCCTAATCTCAGGAGCCTAGCTGCATTAGTTTCAGTTTGCTACTGTAATGAACTACCACAAACTGACTTAAAACAATACAAATGTATTATCTTATAGTTCTGAAGGTCAGAAGTGCAAAATGGGTCTTATAGAGTATAAACAGAGCTGTGTCCTTTGGGAGGCTCTAGGGAAAAATCGATTTCCTTGCCTTTTTCAGCTTCTAGAGGCTGCCTGCACTCCTAGGCTCCTAGACACACCACTTCAACCTCTGCTTCCATATTCACTTCTCTGACTCTGACCCTCCTGCCTCCCTCTTTTAAGGACCCTTGTGATGACTTTGGGTCCACCTGGACAATCCAGGCTCACCTCCCCATCTCAACCTCCTTAACTTACTCACATCTCCAAAGTACCTTTTGCCATGTAAAGTCACATATTCATGGGTTCCAAGGATTAAGACATGGACATCTTTGAGGGAGGCATTTTTCTGCCTTCCACACTGGTATTCTCTGCTATATCTATCTATCTATCTATCTATCTATCTATCTATCTATCTGTCTGTCTGTCTGTCTGTCTGTCTGTCTGTCTGTCTGTCTGTCTGTCTATCTATCTATCTATCTATCTATCTATCTATCTATCTATCTATCTATCTATCTTTCCTCTCCATCCTCCCCTTCAGCAGAGCCTAGCATTGAAGCCAGGCTCCTTGGAGAGGAGCTCTAGGAAGGCAGCCAAGACAAGTGTGCCTGATTTCTTGTGGTGCCTAGACCAGCCATCTGCCTGCAATGATTTAGCTCCATCTTGCCTAAGGACAAATGCTCAGTGGCACTTAATGTGTATTCCTGAATGACTGGTACATATATTACTTACTGCAAAATATGTATCTGTGTGAAAAGAATGAAATAGGTTTATATGTACTGACACAGAGAGACCTCCAAGACATACTAATGATTGACAAATCAAGGCATAAATCAGTATGTACAGTCTAGGTCCATTTATGGAAAAAAACAAAAATCCCAAATATATGTGTATATAAATGCATAGGATGCATAGAAAGGAGACTGTTAACAAAGAGTGAATAACTTTGAAGAGGGGCGTGGGATTGATGAGGGAGTGAAGAGTCACGATTTACTTTGAATACTTCTTACTTGTCATATGTTTTCACATTAAGAATGTACTTATGTGATTTTGAAAGAAAAACCTTTCTCCCAAATGTACTATTTCAGCTCAGACACCATTTTACAAAGAAAGGGCTTTTCTAGACCATGTGGAAATACATGCGTGCCTGTGTGCACACACACAGTATACAGTCATGTATCATTAAAGACAGGGATAAATTCTGAGAAATGCATCATTAAGTAATTTTTGTCATTGTGTGAACATCACAGTGTATTTACACAAACATGGTGTAATTACACAAACCTAGATGGCATAGCCTGCTACATTCCTAGGCTATAGAGCATAGCCATTGCTCCTGGCCTACACACCTGTACAGCATGTTACTCTACTGAATACCATAGGCAGTTGTAACACAATGGTAAGTATTTGTACATCTAAACATAGAAAAGCTACGGTACAAATATGGTATAATCTTATGGGACCAGTGTCCTATATGCGGTCCATTATTGACTGAAACATAGCTATGTGGCACATGACTCTGTGGATTTGTGTGTGTGTGTGTGTGTGTATATATATATATATGTAAATACATAGAAGTATATTGTATATATGTAATACACTATTGTATATATGTAATACATATATATAAAATATATACATATATACTATATAATAAACATTAAAATGCACATAAATATATATACACTCTCTCTGTGGACTAGAGAGTGAGAGAATGTATGTTTCCTTTTGCTCATATTGCTTTTAACCTGCCTGTGCTGCAGTTGTAGAGACAGCGTATGTGTGGATTGAGAGAAATGGTAGGGCAAGACAGGGTGGGAGAGTCAGTTTTTGAGGCTTTAATCTCCTCTTGGAGTGGGTGGCACTTTGAAGAAATAACCCTAGACTTCTTGGCATCTGATCCTTGTTGCAATGATATCAGCTAACATTTATGGGGCCTTTAAGTGCCAGGTATTGTGCTAAATATACATCGTGGATTTTCATGTAATCCTGACAACAATTCTGTAAGGCAGGTACTTTAACACCTTGATTTTACAAATGAGAAAATCAAGGCACACAGAGAGGCGACTTATTTCAGCTTGTAAGTGGAAGATGTTGGAAATTGTCAGAGAGGTCAGCAGCTTGTGTGGGACCTGTGGACAGCCACCAAAAGTTGTACTGTCTCACATGCACCATAGAGACTACACGTTGTCCCCTTGCCAGTTTGTGTCTCTGTGCCTTTGCACATCCTACTACCTCTGACCTTCAAGCTAACACTTGTACGCTTTGGGCTTTTTCAAAGGTAGTTGGGCTTATAGGAAGTGGAAGCCTTTCTTTGTCAATAAAATCCAGTGATCATTGAAAGTGAAGATCCTTTTACCCTGAGCCCAAGGAAATGTGTAAATCTGGACTCATGTATACCTCTCCATTTATATTCCCACTCCTGCTTTCCATTCTTGCTATTTCCTCTTTCATTTAGTACTTTGTTATCTTTCATCTGCACTACTGCTCATCCTGTCTCTCCCCACATAAACACCCCCTCTACTAGCACGTTTGAGTGCCTACTCTATGCTAGTTACTGTACCAGGAAAGAGCTTTTCATACAATCAGTTAACATGTTGTGAGCGAGGGGTTATTATCATCTCCATTTTACGAGTGAAGAAGTTGAGGTCTGGAGAGGTGAACCTACTCAGGGTTACCCAACTAGAAAAGAGTGGGAGAGCTGAGCTGGGATTGGATCTAGTTCTCCTTACTCCTGGTCAAAAGGTCTTTTTGGTATTCCATGTTGCAGAAGCCTGGGTGTGGTAGGCTGAATAAAGTCCCTCTCCCCACTGCCAATAGATGTCTACATTGTCATCCCTGGAACTTACGAATATGTGACTTTACATGGCAAGCTACTCTGCAGATGTGATTAAGTTAAGGATCTTGAGATGGGGAGGTTATCCTAGATTTTCCAGGTGGCCCCAGTGATATGATCTCAAGGGTCGCTACCAGAGGGAGTCAGAGTGAGCGGTATTGGGGATGTGACAACAGAAGCCTGAGGCTGCAGTGATGCAAGGAAAGGATCACAAGCCAAGGATTCAGGTGGCCTTTAAAAGCCAGAGAAGGTCAGGAGATAGATCCTCTCTTAGAGCGGCCAGAAGAAACCAGCCCCACCAACACTCTTGACTTTAACCCAGTGAAACTGATTTTAGACTTCTGGCCTCAAGAACTGGAAGAGTTATGTTGTTTTAAGCCACAAAGTCTGTGGTAATTTGTTAAAGCACCAAAGGAAATTACTACGCTGGGTTAAAAGGTTAATATGAGGAGACAATTAAAAAACTAGGCCTTAGTTATACTACTTCTTGGCAGTGGCTACTGCCCAAGAGGCATTTGGTTGCAATACTATTAATACAAAGGTTCTTTGTTAGCCAGGAAAGAGCAGCATTGTTGGCTGGAGATGCCAAAATGCCAGCAGCCAGGAAGCTCAGCAGAAGGCACTCTGCAGGGAGAAAGCGATCCCTGGAAAGGCTCTGCTCCTGTTTACATAACTAGGAATGGTCTCTAAAAGGAAAGATCCTTTTAGGCACTTCTGGTTTGCTCTGACTGTGTTGCATCTTAGCCGTGCTTCCTGCAGGCCAGAGAAACTGCAAGTCTTTGCCCACATACATGTCATACAAACAGATCCAGGGTCTCCATAAATTTCCTGAAGCCCATGTCATGGATCCCAGAAGAGGTGATATGTTAACACAATGCTTCATTTCTTATTCTCTTTATTCTCCCAGGCAACCTACAACTAAAGAACAGACCTCTTAAACAAATACACTTAAGCAGCTTTCTTAACACAGGAAAGTGTGGCCCACCTCCACCCTTTTAGACTTGTGTTTTGCTTCCATCAGACAGCATTATGCATGAGTCCCCAACATGGGAGCAGGTCAGGACAGGATGGCATACTGGTTAGATTTATGGGTCCTCTTGAGTCAACTTTCCTGCTCGTGACGTTGTTTTGGATCAACTGAAAGAAGTGGGTGGAAATAGTAAAAAATTAAAGACGCTTCTACCAAGAGAACTTTTCTGAAGTGCTTGATAAGATTGGTCATGCTCACTCTCTTTTCTTTTTGAATACACTTTCTCCTGCTTCTTCTTCTTCCCCCAGAGGCCACGATGGCTTGCTCCCCAATTTCTTGTAGGTCTCTGTCTCCATATTACTTTTCTAGAGAGGCCTTTTACGACTGGTCACCCTTTATAAAATAGCAACACCCCAGTACTCTCTGTCTCCCTAACTTACTTCATTTTTTCCTCATAGCACTTATCAACAGCAGGTCTATATTTGTATGTTCATTTCTCTTCCACAAGTTTTGGATCAAGTAAGCTTCATGAGGATAGTAACTTTGCTTACCTTGTTTACTGTTATAACCTCAGCACTTAGTACAGTGTCTGGCACATAATAGGTGCTCAGTCAATATCTATTAAATCAATGAATAAAAGAGAAAAGCAAAAAAATAAAGATCATGAACTTTTTGCTAAGATAACATGACAATAAAAAATCTAAGTGATATCTGGATAAGGGTAAGAAAATTCCAACAATATAGAAAGGAACAGAGGGAAAATAAAGGATTCTCTCCCGCTACCCTCATCTGTATTCTTAAAGGTAACCACAGTTATATGATTTTTCAATTTCATTAACCAGTAAGTATATTGGGTGCATTCTATGTGTACAGGAAAGTGTTTGAGGTGCTGAGAAGCTTATGAATGCAGAATCTTTACCTTCCAGGATCTCACAGTCTTTCTTGGGGGCGAACATAAAGGAGTCTTATGGTGCTGAAGAGTCCAGATGTGGGAGCCATCACTGTGGGCTGGCAAGATTAGGAAAGGTTTCTTGCATGAGAAATGACTTGATGGGGGTTTGGAGTTTGGTCGGATTTTAGTAAGAGAGGTATGGGGCTCTCTCAGCAGAAGCGTCTAGCTTGGGTAATGAAAGGGGCCATCCAGAGAATGGCTAGACTTGGAGCCTGGCTGATGTCGAGCATTTGTATCCGGGAGAAGTGAGAGAAAAGACTGGAGAATAGGGGCTTGGACAGTTAGAGGAGTTCGGGAAGAGCCAGGAAGCATGTGATAATGAGTCAGAATAGGACTGTGACTGGAAGAGATGCATTTTATAGACATTGCAGTAGTACAATTATTAGGACTGTGTAATTGAATGGCTATGTTGGGGTGAGGATTAGGGAAGACTGAAATATGACACTCATGTTTTTCAGCCTGGGTAACGAGGAAAATAGTAATAACATTGCCCAAAATAGGGAGGTTAGGAGGAAAAACTGTTTTGAGATGTGGTGTGGTGGTGGGAATTGATAAGATGACTCTGGCTAGATAATTGTTCAGCCTTTCCTTGGATGTGGGGACTGCCTTTCACTTCCTTAGCATTACCTGCAGAAGCTAGAGAGAACTAAATACTGCATATAATAGGCGCTAAATGGATGTTATTAGTAGAGATCACTAATAGCCACCTTGGATGGCAAACCCTGGCCCTCCTTCCAGATGTTAAGTTCAGAGGGTTCTCTGGATCCCCATCTCTTTTCAGCTCAGACTTATGGATATCTCTAGGCATAATCTTACCTACCAGTCTCTACCAACTGCTAGCACATCCATGGAGAATCCAACTTCCTTGCTTCTTTATTTACTTCAGGCTCTCCTAGGATGATCAGCTATCCCAGTTTGCTCTGGGCTTGCCAATTTTAGCACCAAAAGTCAGGAATGCCAGGAAATCTCTCAGTTCCAGACAAATTGGGGTGGATTTCTGCTCTCCCAGCTTCGGAATACCTCTGCTGAACCCACCAGCTGGACAGTTACAGTCTTTTCATGTTCTCAATCTAGATTGCTCTTCTCTTTGGTTGGTCTTACACTGCTGTTTTGCTCCAGCTTCCTTCTGGATGCTGATAACTGAGCTCCGAGTGTAGCCCCAACTGTCTCATTTCACAGTCATCTGAAGAAGACAGCAAGTCCATGCTGCATGCTAGTTCACCACATTGCAGTGGCTACTTCAAACCTACAACTAAGCAACCTGAGATTCCTAGGAGCAGATAAAACCCATCTGCAATCTGTCACTGTTTATTTTTCAATGCCAAGATAATTCTACAAAGTTAATGAATAGCTGGGTTGGAGTGGGGGAGGGGGCACAGATAGAATGAGGAGAAACTGTCATTGATGGACATCCTCTGTACTGCTTCTTGGCAGGACACTGGTTACATGGTGAGTCACGGAGGGTACAGCTGTCATCATCATTATAATGCCTCTATGAAGTGCCTTATGTCTGACATTCTGAGCCAGGCCTACACAGGGAAGTACACAGCTCTGGACCTTCACTTTTAGAACATCATGGTCCAAAACCAGATATTGATGTGGACACATGCAAAATGGATTCAGATCCTCCATATGGGTTAAATCACACATTGTATGTCAACCAGCATCTCTTCTACTGGTTTCTAGATGTCTCTGGAGTGAAATCTATCAAGCAAATATATCTTGTCTCCTCAATTATATTATTAGCTCCTTGAGGGTAGGAGACCCACCCATACACTTGTGTTTACAGACATCAGCTCTACAGGACAAATACAGATGCTCAGTGAGGGCTGACTAAATCAACCTGACCTGATGGGTGCAGGCGGAGTGCTTTTCCGGCCAATGAATTTCTCTGAGCCTCAGTTTCTTTCTCTATAAAATGGAGAAGGTAATTGTATCTCCTTCTTGGGGTGGTTGTGAGGACGGAGAGACAATACATGTAAATTGCTTAGCACATAAACTAGCATCCTTTACCATATGATCTACTCAATTGTTAGCTATTTAATACTAACTTCTGCCCCTGCTCAACTAGGAGAGAGACTATGGAAAGAGTGAGTGTAGCAGCTCTCACACAAATCTGTGGGATTCAGCCTACAGAAGCAGACTGGTCAGTTGCCTATGTGTTGGGATTTGACGGACATCAAAAGATTTACTCTTTCACCTGTCTGCCTCACTTTTCTGCTGTAACTCCCGAACAGGGATGCTTTGAAGGGGATATCCGTAAGCACCACTTGGGGCTTCTGACTAGGAGCGAGGGCTGAACTAAAGTCGCCACATCAGGCACCTGTTGAGTCTTCATTCAGCAACCATTTACAGCTAACTCAATCAGTGTCAGGCATCGTCCAGTAGGTGAAGGTCCGTTACATACCCTTGCCTCACTTCAGAGAGGAGCCGGGAGACACCACAGAACAGCTCTCTTTGTAAGAGTGAAACTCACGGAGCCGGAAAGCCGCTCCCGCGCTAGTGCGCAGGCGCCAAGCCGGCGCGGCCCGAGGTCTTCCGGAGCAAGCTCATCAAGTCCAATGGGCGCGCAGCGCCGGCGCCGCGCATGCGTCTTGCAGCCTCGTCCGGAAGCTGAGGAGTTGGTAGCGGCCGTTAACCCGCTAAGATGAAGTAAGGCGTCAGTTTTCCTCTGAGGAACGGGGAGCGGGCAACCGAGAGTGGCTCACTGGGGCTGGGATGGCAGAGCGTCTGCGGGGGCGACGGGCGGGGGAGGCGCGGAGACGAGAACAGCTAGGCCTGTAGTTTTGCTCTCCCTCAGCTCAGGGCGGGCCGCACTCACTTGTCCGCTTTTCCTCCTTCTCCCCCGCCCCCGTGCAGCCCTTTAACTAAGGTGAAGCTGATCAACGAGCTGAATGAGCGAGAGGTCCAGCTTGGGGTGGCTGATAAGGTGTCCTGGCACTCCGAGTACAAGGACAGCGCCTGGATCTTCCTGGGTGAGGTCCACATCTTTCTCCCGTAACGCTCTCCTCATTCTCTCCTGGCCTGCTTCTCACCATTCCCGCCCTGCACTCCCCTGCACATTCATTGTCCACTTTCATCTCCATGTGCTGTCTGCCGGTGAATCCGTGTTCCATACCTCTCTTCTCCCCATTTTCTAGTTTGCTCTCCCTGCCAAATCAGAGCTCACGAGAGTTACTGTTTGCCATTTTAGCGTGCTAAGGCTCAGAGACCATTGTTTTCCCTCTCTCTCTCTCTCTCTCTCTCTCTCTCACACACACACACACACACACACACACACACACACACACACACGGACCCATTATACGGCTGAGGAAACTGAGGTGGAGAGAAGTTAAGGGGATTCCTTAAGGTCTCACATAGATAGTAAGTGCAACAGCCAGAAATGTAGGATTCTAGAACTCATGATCTTAGCCACTACCGGATATCACTACTAACCTCCTTCCCCCATTCAATTCCCTCAGAATTCACTTTCCTTCTCTCATTAGCTCCTGCTTTCTGTCCATGACCATATTACCATCCCTGTGTTTACTTTGTGTCACAATGAGCAGTTCTACACTTTGACTCTTCAAAGAGGTTATTGTACCAGTCATTGTGCTCAGCACTTAACATATATTGCTTTATTTAATTCTGAAAACAATCCTGTGATGTAAGTACTAGTATCCCGATTTTACACATGAGTAAAGAAACATTTGGAGGAGAAATTATTCCCTATGACATGTTTAACAGTGTCTTCATAATCCTTAGTCTATACATAGATGGGGTTAATACTGACATATTTAAACCCCTTTTGTGTCACAGCAGTTTGTGGCTAATGAGCAGATGAATTCAAGGTATATTTTTGGAAGCAGAATTTTGTGATGGAAATTTCTGCTTTGTCTATAGGATTTTGGATGTGAGGAAGACTGACTGATCAGATTAGTTTGGTTAGTGGTGTCCCCCTAACCTTTCCACTCAAAAAGTTAATCGTTTTTCTGTGCTACTGGCACTTCTGTCGTTGCATCAGACTGTGATTTCCCTGTGGCTCATTCTTTGCACTTCCAGTGTCTGGTCTAGTGCATGGTACCTAGTAGATGCTTGCTAAATGTTTGTTGAACTGAAATGTGATTTTGTCTTCTAGGAGGGCTTCCTTATGAACTGACTGAAGGAGACATCATCTGTGTTTTCTCACAGTAAGTCCTCTTTTATTTCCTGCCTTCTGAGTCAACAGAGTAGTGGCGTCATAAAAACCATTTATTTGAATTCTATGCCGAATGGTATGGCTACATGGGGAGGGTTGGAGCTTCTGCTCTAGGCTAGGTCATTCCCAGGGCATGGTTCTAGAAAACTCCCATGTGGAAGATCCCAGAATTTGGATAATTTGGAAAGGGTATCTTAGGAATTCTGGTCTATTTGTATTGTTTTTTCACTGAGACTTGTTCAGCTTGGGCCTATACTGGAACAGACTGGAGGAACTCTCAGGAAGGTACTATGCTGGCCCACCTCCTTGGGCTTCTGCAAACTGGGGGTAACCCATGATCACAGGACATTTTTAGGCCCTCATGTGTGTGGCAATGTAGGAATGGGGCAAAGCACAGAGGAACTGTGGGGAAAAACAGAAGGTTTAGGTGGTAGTTTGCTTTCTCTGTTTCTAAAGGAGTATAAGGTTAGTGAACAGAGTCATTCTCTTTACCCAGAGGCTGAGAATCACAGACTGATGAGGAATAAGAATGATTAGGAGACCTGTATATTCTTTATTTTTGCTATGGGATTATAGTAGTGGCGCTTGGTGGGAGAGGATGTTGGCGGCTCACATTGGTAGTAGCAGCTGGTAGGAGAAAGGCTGGGCAGCTGATACAACCCCAGAGCTAAACAGGGTGGTTAGACAGTGCACAGGCTAAGAGGACCATGGCAGCTTACAGGAGCAGGGGGCCACTACTTTTGGGTTTTGTAGCCCTCAGGAGCACAGGACTATTTCAGAGAAGTTGGACAGCATGTACAGGCAGGGGACCATGGCCAAAGGGGCTAGCCAAGTAAACACAGGTAGCATACCCTGGAGAGGGATTGCAGTGGCAGGATGGTTGGCCTATCCGTAGGCAGATGGCCCTGGCTGAGTGGTTGGGCAGCTTACGGGGCAGAAGGCCATAGGAAAGGAATTGGGCAATACACAGGGTACACGGTATAAGAGAGCTGTGGCAGAGGGCCCTGGCAGGGACAAAGGCTGGGACTGTCAGAAAGTTCACAGAAGGTGCAGCCTATAATTTCCATCCCTTTGTGATACCTCTACCTGATCTAGCCTTCCATCTTGGAGCTGTTTTAGTTTTACTTGCATTGAGTGATGATCAGTTAGTGTGTATGTGTTCATTTTCATTTTCTATTCTGGCTACACACATTGCTCCCCATGAAGATTGCTTTTGCCATGGATAACAGTGGATTTTGAAAAAATGCTTTGTTTTCTGATCATGAAGGTAATGTGCAAGCATTATAGAACATTTGGCAAAAAAGATACAAAGAAAATAATAGAATATACTCTTAAGGAAAGACTTAACAGTTTGGCATATTTCTTTATTTTTACTTTTTAAATGTTGGGCATTATTTCCAATGGTTTGCTTTTATAAATTATACTCCAGTGTACATGATAGTGTATAAATCCTTGTATGCATCCCTTATGGTTTCCTTAGAGAAAAAGGGATATGGATTAGTGTGTTAGCATTCTTAAGATGTTTTGTAAACATTTCCAAATTGCTCTCTGGAAAGGTTGTACAAATTTCTACTCATGAGAAAGTCTGTTTTTCTGAATCCTGATCAATAATGGTTTTAAAAAGATACTCATAGTCCCAGAGGCTGGAAAAAAAATTTGCCAAATAAGTTTCTTATCATTATTTTACTTCGCTTTTATTTCATCATCAGTAAGGTTGAACATCCTTTCATAAATTTGCAGCTCAATATTATTTCTTTTTCTTTGTCAATGGTTTATTCATATCCTTTGCCAGTTTTTTTCTACTGGTGTTTTCCTTGTTATTTGTTGATTTTACGTGAGCCCTTTGTGTATGAAAGATTTTATTTAACTCTTTGCTATAATACTTAGTCATGCATTGTATTACAGGTCGAGTATCTCTTATCTGAAATGCTTACAACTAGAGTTGTTTCAAGATTTTGTGGGTTTTTTTGTTTTTTACAGATTTTGGAATATTTGCATATACATAATGAGGCATCTTGGGGATGGGACACAAGTCTCTACATGAAATTCATTTATGTGTCACATACACCTTATATACATAGTCTGAAGGTAATTTTATAAAATTTTTTCAATATTTTTTTGTATGAAACAAAGTTTGCATACATTGAACTATCAGAAAGCAGAGGTATCAGGTGTAGAAATTTCCACTTGTGACATCATGTCAGCACTTGGGAAGTTTTGGATTTTAGAGCATTTTGGATTTCAGGTTCCTGGATTAGGGATGCTCAACCAGGACTATGGTTTTTTAAATTTGATATAATGTCTTATCATTATTCTTTCTTGATGCTCAAGTTGTCCCTATTTGAAGGCCAATAGGAGTCCCTTCAAGCCAGATCCTATATTCTTTTTTTAATTTTAATTTTGAAATAATTTTAGCCTTAAAACACGAAGGTTATAAAATAGTATAAAGAATACCTATATCTAAAAAAGAATACCTGTATCTATTTCACCTAGATTTCCCAGATGTTAGCATTTTACCACATTTTGTGTTATTTCTCTGTGTGTGTGTGTGTGTGTATATATATATATATATATTATATTTTTTTTCTGGACCATTTGTCAATTGCAGACATAATGTCTATTTATCTCTAAATTCTTCAATATGTATTTCCTCAAAATAAGGACATTCTCTTGTTTAACCTCAGAACAGTGATCCAATTCAGGAAATCAACACTGATACAACATTATTATCTAATCTGTAGACTTTACTCAGCTTCATCAGTTGTCTTAATAATGTCCTTTATGACAAAAGAAGAAAATGTTTTCTAGTTCTTTATCTGTAATATAAGTTATAAATTTTATTTATGGATAACTTATTTATAATTAGGAATTATAAATATTTTCTCATTTTATCTTTTTGTCACTTGTCTTTGAACTTTGCTTATTGCAATTTTTTGCTAAGCAAAATCATTTTATATTTATGCATTTATTTATATGTTTAAATTAATATATGGTAAAAGTGACTTTTGTTGGGGGAATGTATAGTCCTATGAGTTTTAATACATGTATAGATTTGTGTAATCACCCTCATAATTAGAATGCAGAACAGTTCTATCATCCCCCCAAAATCCCTCATCCTTTCCCTTTACAGTCTCCCCCTTCAGTCTTATTTATTTATTTATTATTGATTGATTGATTGATTGATTGATTGATTGATTGAGACAGAGTCTCACTTTGTTGCCCAGGCTAGGATGAGTGCCATGACATCAGCCTAGCTCACAGCAACCTCAAACTCCTGGGCTCAAGCGATCCTGCTGCCTCAGCCTCCAGAGTAGTTGGGACTACAGGCATGCTCCACCATGCCTGGCTAATTTTTTCTATATATATTAGTTGGCCAATTAATTTCTTCCTATTTATAGTAGAGATGGGATCTTGCTCTTGCTCAGGCTGGTTTCGAACTCCTGACCTCAAGCAATCTGCCTGCCTCGGCCTCCCAGAGTGCTAGGATTACAGGCGTGAGCCACCGCTCCTGGCCAGTCTTTTATATTTATATAGTTAAATTTGTCAGTCTTTTTTATTGCTTCTGGATTTTTGAGTCATTAGTAGAAAGTATTTCTCCCCACATACTCATCTATGTTCTCTTGTAGTGCTTGTATGGTTTCAATTTTGTACATCGAAGTTTCTATTCCATTTAGAGTTTGTTCTCTTGTACAATGTGTGGTGTGGGTCCAGTTTTGTGTTTTTTCAAATGGCTACCTAGTTGTCCAACACCATTTATTAAAAAGTCCATATTTTCCTCAGCAGATTGGGATGTCACCCTTATCATATCCTAATTTTTTCACATATACTTGAGTCTCTTTCTCACCTTTCTATTCTGTTCTGTCTATTCATTTGCCACACCGGTTACTCATAGAAGCTTTTCAGTATGTTTAACATCTGGTAGCGTTACTTCCCCTTATTTATTTATTTTTTTTTAGGTTTCCCTAGCTATTATGTGTTCTTTTTTTTCCATAAGAATTTTAGAATTAACTTACCCAGCTCTAGGAAAAAAGAACTTGTATTTTTATTGGGATCACATTAAATTTATATGTTAACTTTGGAGAAAATTTTGATATCTTTATGATACTGAGTCACCATGTGTAAGAACAGGGATGCCTTTATATTTGTTCAAATCAATGTTTGTGAGTTTTTAGGAGATTTTTTAAAGTTTTCTTTATATAGGCTTTGCAGTAATACATTGCTGGTTGTTAAGTATATTTCTAAGTATTTTATCTTTTTTGTTGTTATTATAAATTGGATTTCCCTTCCAGTATTTCTTCTAATTATTTTTTGTATATAAGAAGGTGATTGATTTCTATCTTTATATCCTATTACTCTACTGGATTGTCATAGTTTTTTTTTTTTTTACCATTTGTCCATTTGTTTTAATTACAAGAGAATTTTTCCCAATGGAGAGGAATTTTTGACAGTTTTTTAAAGTTATTATTATTTTTTTTATTTCGGCATATTATGGGGGTACAGATTTTAAGGTTTCAATAAATGCCCATTCCCCCCCCACACACACAAGTCTGAGTCTCCAGCATGACCATCCCCCAGATGGTGCACATCTCACTCATTATGTATGTATATACCC